CATCAACATGATTACCTGCTGCAGCCCAATGAAGACAAGTCCTACCCTTATCATCTCTTTCCTGTGGGTCACAGTGATATTTAGTGATGAGATCTTTTATAGCATCTAACCAGCCATGCCTTGAAGACAATTGAAGTAAACTTGTATTATCCCATACTATATATAGTCCTTTAATGTTATTTGGTTCCTTCACTAATGGAAGTAAGCGAACAGCTTCTTCATGATCTCTGTCTTTAAACGCAGCCCAACACTTGTCCTCTAACGACATCTTGTGATTAGTTAATTAGATTTATTGCTGCTGTATTAGGAATATGGAATTTGTTATTCATACACTATACACACACACACACTATGATATCATTAACAGAGGAAATAGGAAGGATATTATGCACACCTGCAGCCTCAGTAATCTGCTTAATATTTATAGAAATAAACTTAATAATAATGGTTTTAAATAATTACATATTAAAAGGGATTGTGTAGTCATTTTTTTTCTAAAGTCTTGTTTACCTTAAGGAGACAACTATTAGTGGTTATTTAATTTAGCGATTATAAGAAATTACTAACTTAGGTCTGCGCTAGTATCAAATTAGTAATAGTTATTATCATTAAATGATCAAAACGCTAAATTAAATACCAGCCAAATGTCAGTATCATGAAAATTGCTATAATAAGTGCATGCTAATAATGCATGGTTTCCTTAAGTTTTTTTAATATCATAATTTTTGCCCAATTCTTTCCGACAATCATCACATAACTTGTTATTCAGTTTCCCTTCTTCCCTAGCTCCTGTCTAGAGACAGGAGGGAAGAAGGGAAACTGAATAACAAGTTATGTGATGATTGTATAAATGAGTACTTTATGTATTCTTACTCTTCAAATCACTAGCTATAAGTACCTCCCTCAGCTCCTCCTCTTCCTTTCCTCCTCCTCTCCTCCTCTGATAACCTACACTACTGTACAGTCTCAAGCTTCTTCCAACAGATCTCTAGTGGTACATGTAACAATGAGTAATGGGACAAAGGAGGTAACACCTGTTTAAAGTGTTAGTGTTCACATAATCACTTGAAATTAAGAAATTAAATAAATTGCTGAATAAGAAACTCATGGGGTGGTTTGACCTTTTGATGCATGCTTTAAGAGTATAACCGAATTCAACTTCAGTGTCAATGTAATGTTAGGACTAGTACAATATTGTTATTAATTTATGTGTCAGTTTAATAATATCCCAGCTTAAATTAGAAGATACATTTTAATCTAAACAGGAGAATTTATTGTGTCTGATAGTGTCAAATACATTTTCCCTCTTGTTTATTTTCTTTATAATTTATAACAATAAAAAATAAATACCATATATCCTTAACTAGAAGCCAGATTCAATTAAATGCCAGGGTGGCAATAGAATTGAAGTATGAATACACAAATCTAGCCTTGAAACAGTGCATGAGGTCACGGGTTCAAGTCCCGCTCTTGGCAAAAGTTTTTTAAATTTTTGTAATTTTTTTGAGGTCCAAATACCATTTTAGGAAAATAGAATCAATCCATTTTAGGATTGATTTAGGCACGCTAAGTCAAACACCAACCAAATTTTCATCAAAGAGAATTGCTGTATGCATAAGTTAGTTTGAAGTATCTTCAGGTCACATTGCTAATGATAATTACTAATGTTAAGATTCTGTGTTTGTGTGTTAATACATGTATTGTAAATAATAATGAACACATGTATGACTTAACTTAACACAATTATGTGAATTAGACTGAACAATTGTATTTTGAGACCACTTCTAAATTTTTATTTCGTTTTACAACTTCTTGAAACTTTTTAGCATCTTTACTATCAAGGTGACCCACTTTTAGTATCTTCAGGTCACATTGCTGTTGAAGGTAGTCCAGTAATTGAGCCAGTAATAAAGGTGCAGGTTGTTCACATATACAGGATTTAATGCAACACTTATTCTTTATGAATATGATTTCATTAAATTTTGTTGCCTCTGAAGCATATAAGTTGTTTGGATCGTTAAAATGAACTGGGAGAGAATTCATCAATAGTGTGTTACTATAGACTAGTGGTTGAATGAGTTACAGTTCCTGATCAGTTGGTAGATTATTTGTTGGTGACTTGTGTTGAATGGTGACTCTATGATGTCTTTGAATAAGGAATCTAATCTTTATATAGTAGTACTCTTGTGATGTCAGTAATGTATTGCACAATAGGTGTTAACCCATGACATGAAGTTATAATCATTGGCTTGTTATAAGTGTTACTGTCAGTGTCAGTGGTTTGCTAGAACAAGTTATGCTGTTAATTGTTAATCATGTCTTGCACAATTATAAGTGTTAACCAATGGTCAGTGGCATGCTACAGCAAGTATAAAATTGTCTGCATGAAGCTCAACAAAATTTAAAGTGATGCATGTATCTATATTGTACACTGTCCATTTGAGTAGGTATGTGTAAGCATACATGCATTCACATATGTACGTGTATACATGCCCTGCATACACAGATCTTCATTACACTGCATTACTAGTAAAAATTGACTCTGCCTAAAATTATGCCTTTTTAACCAATAAGCTGTATTTTTGTATTTTGCAATAATAAATGTACACTACACATAAGTGTTTTAAGTGTTGTCATTATCAGTGGAATGCTACTACAAGTGCAAGTTTGTCTACCAAATGAAGCTCATTTCACCAATCATTCCTCT